GTAGCATGCTTCTACCCTGCACTTCCCAAATGAGTACCTGTGATGGGGAGAGAACCTTTGTTTCACAGGATCCTGCCAAATACTCCTGATTGGGGTGGGAGGTGTTCCCTTCAGTGAGGCTTCCCTGGCTAACACAAAGGATGTGTGGAGACAGAAATCTCCTGCTTCCATAGGAAACAATTTTAAGCTTTGCCTTGCCTACCACAGTGTCTTTTCCATCCCGGTGAAGGAAGATGATGCCCTCTGTGAAGTTCTACTAATCAGGCTAGGGGACGCAGTCCACCCCTTGGGTCAGGGTGGGCCACGGGGGCCAACTCCTGCTGGGGTGCAGAGAACCTACAGATTCATTAATTCAATGTGACCCATGTCCCTGGTGGGCTCTCAGGCTTATAGCATTCTCTAGGGATACCCCACAGACATGACAGTCAGGAGAAGCTGTGGTTAAAAGGGGAGAATTGGACTTTGTATTTTAAACATCTGCAGCACTTGCAGTTGGAACAATGTAGCCATCCAGCTGTGATCTTGGCTGCCCTTCTTCTGGGCAGGGGTTTGGTCCCTGATGGGGTAAAGGTTTGCAAACTGTGCTCACTATAAATGTGAACACCTTTCCCCTTCTTTGGATACAGGATCTTGATAATCTGATTCAGGATATGGACAGTGATGAAAACAAGGTAAGTAAAAGCGTACGGTAGACAAACTCCTTTATTTAGCAAGAGCTGAACAGCCCAGTCTTGGTCTGCATGCCACATGCTCCATTTCACCATCTTCTCTCTCATCCTCACTCAAGCCAGAGTTTTGAAGGCCACTTCCTAGATTGTAGAAATCACAGTGAATTCCTTGAGGCTGTGGTGTTTGTGACTGTAGAGCTGTGACATGAAGTTACTGATTGATGTTATCCCTATTAATTTCTCGACAGCTCTCAGAGTGAGAGCTAGGCATTTGTTATAGTGGGAGGAAAAGTATTTCAAAGAGGTTCGTTGGTGGGTTTGTTGGTTTTGTTATCCAACTTTTCACATAAGTGCATGTAAGTTTCTAGCAATGGCAGACAGCTAAGGAGGATCAACATCCCTCCAAGATGATTGTTTCAGGGTTATACTATTTCTGTTGTGACTGAGAGTTAAATGATAAAGCTTCTCCAATTCTGATACACTTTTTTGCTAGAGGAGGCGAGGCCTAAACTGCTTTGTTTGTTTGTTAGCTTTTGTACCAGCTGGCCAAGTCATCAGAGAGTCACAGATAAATATGTGAACTGTAGATGTGTGTTTATGGTTGAAGAGGCTGTGGCTTAGTGCCTGTGGATTGTCATAGATCCTGAATGGCATAACTGGGAATAAAATCTTAAGATTTGTGACTGCGCTCTGTCCTGCTCCAACAACAAACTCACTGTTATATGTAGATTGAAAAATAGGCTTTTCATTCTGTGTTGATAGAAGATATATCACTGAAAGATGTGAGCTGTTCTAGAACCAGCAGTGGAAGAAAATTAATGGTCTAGACTCTTTGCTATGAGGATGTGGTAATTAATCCATAAGACAGGATTCTTGATGCTAATTTCATGGTGATACAGTAAAGGAGTTTCCACAAGAGACAAACATAATGAAATACAGTGGTCTGTCCATCTTTTACATTGAGATCTGCTCCATGCTATACTCTGCTTCATAATATACTGCTACTACCTTCTACAATATGCTTCTGAGCTAGGTATTTCCAATGAATCCTTGCTTAAACTTGTCCTGTCAGTTTACTACAGCTTTCTAACCAAGTTCTGCTTCAGATCCAGGCCTACGTGATGTGCAACAAGTTGCGTTCTGCCTATCTAGTCTCGGTGAGACAGGAGAGGACCAGAGCAGTGCAGCTAGTCCAGCATGTGCGGCAGCTGGCTGAGAACAGTGGAGATGATGTTGTGAAGGCCATCTGTGCCCAGTGGCTCTCAGTGCACCAGTCCAAAATGAGAAACCGGCTTCCACAGGGCACTAGGAAGTAATAACTAATCGACATTCTCCATCATGCAAAAGGAGAAGGCTTCAAGACATCTGAAAGGTGTGTGGTTCAGCAATCTCTTGGTAAAATGGAAGTCTTTTGACTGATGATGTTGACAAATGGCTGCTGCTAATGTGCCTCAGGTGAAAGGAAGGGAACTAAATTACAAGTGCCAGTCCTGTATTTTGACAAACGGTCACTACCTCAGGGTTTTTTGGCTATCTTTTTGGTGGGGTGGGAAGGGGGTGGTTTCAAACTGACCAGTAATTTAGGTGGATGAAAGAGGGCACTTCTGGTTCTGGATTGGGGGGTTTTGTTGTTGTTGTTTTTGAGGGGTGTTGGGTTGATTTTATTTTTTTTTAAAGGCACTGAACTTTATTGTATGTTTTTTTTAATCCAGAAAACCTATGTAGAGAGGACAGAAAAATCTCATTAACTCACTGTAGCCTAGAGTATAAAAGTTTTTGTGATTACGGGTTTCCTATAAACTTTTTCAAGGTTGGAGAGATCTTCTTTTACAAAGACTGAAATTCAGAGATGTTTTTAAGCCACTATACAAACCATTGCTATTTTTGATTTGCTTTTTTTTTTTTCTTCCCCACTAGTAAAATGTGCCCAATTTTTTTTAGTTTGTTTGAACTGGGTATGAACTTGTTTGAAAAGGTAGGAACTGATTCTTCATGGCAAATTTCTACTTACCAGTCACACTGTCTGATGTGTGCCATACGTATGGCACTTGAGCCCTTACTGGATGGATGAAGTTATAAAGGACATATCCTGTACAGAGAATACAAAGGGAGAAGACTCCTCTAAAATAGTTGAAAAATCATGTACCTCTTTCTTTGCTATGGCAATATCCAATAAATTGTTGCAATGCAGCTTTATCACCAAACAGTTGCCAGTAAACATACACAGGTTTTCATCAAGTATAGCAGAAAATAGGGACAGAGCAAGCTGTGGTAAAATTCAACAAGTGGTCTGTGTTCCTGTCACACAGGGATTTACTTGTTTCTTACCAGAATTACCTGTCTCTGTCAGGTACAACAGAACACCAGACTAAGTTTTTATTAGCAGAACATACTGTATAGACTATATTGATAGGCTTTGCTCTGGAAGTGTTAGGTTAACTCGGTTTTATGAAAAAGCAGGAATCTTTGTGTAATGGCTATGTTCAGGGATGCTGAAAAAAGCAGCTGCTTCTCTGCAGCTGTGACTGAGATGTGAGAAATGGGCAGAAGAGTGGTAGACAATAGTAGGATATTCAAAAAGAAACAGAACAAAACATAGCACTCTAAGAGTGTCTTGTGCTGAAATACATGTAAACAGCAGAGAAGTAGGAAAACTAGTTCACTTTTTCGTTAAAAGGTTTAGTTGTTTACTTAAAAGTAACAACAGGTTTTCTGAAGTGTAATATAACTGTAAATAGTTTTAGTACATAAAATAGAGACTGTCAAATAAGAGTTTTGCACTGTCTCCGAGCTCACTGTAGTGACAGAATGGACTTCCGTGGTATTGGACTTGGTCCATCTCCTTTACTGTTCCACGATCAGTGCCTCACTGACACAAGCACCTCTCTTGGAGGTGTTCGGCTCCTTAGAGCAGGGCTAGAAATGTCTTGGAGCAAAGCAGTCAGAAATGACCACATTTAGCTTTCAGAATCTCCTGACCAGAGATTTGTATTATCTCATTAGTGGGCAGTACTAATGAAAGCTTTTGTTTTCTTGGCCAGACTGACCTAGCTTTCTGTCAGATTATAGCCATTAATCTAATCCTAAAACATGACACTATCCTTGTCTTCGATCATTTTCAAATCTCTAATTACGGGGAGAGGTTTTACTCTTTGTGGGTATCCAGATCTGCACTGCTGTAATACTTACTTTTTTGCTTGAGTTCCTTCAGCTGTGCAGAGCACAGAGAGTGGAGTTGGCCATGCAGACCAGTCAGTTCTGTACCTGCCTTTCTTCCTGACCTCTTTGCACTGTACCTGATGCACTTTATCTAGTGTTTGTTGTAATTTGATGTTCTTAACCTAGGATTGTAGGAATCTTTCTCTTACCAGCAGAACTGGAATTTTGATCCTAACTGCCTTGTGTCATGAATAGTGCAATTATCAAGGGGCTTTGAATATTTGAGCATCAAAAAGGGATTGAGAACTGCCAGTTAAAAAGAACTTCTATATTAATGACCAAGGTTTGTTTACAATGAAAAAAGAGAATAAAGTATTATGACTGTTAATGTATCTTCTGTTCGCTTTTTATCTTGGCATAGCTGTGGATCTCATGCTAGAGCTGTATTTTGCTTTTGGCTATGCTTAGAAGAGTAATTAGAAGGGGGATAATTGTTCTGTCATGCAGAATCTCTCTGCTACAGGGTCCTCAATATTTAGATCAATTGGAGTATCACATCTTTAGAGGCTAGCTCAGCCTCATACATGTACTCTCCCAGACCGGTAATCCTTTTAGGAGCTTTGCAAGTTAATCTAACTCTCCCTTACAAGCCTGTCTTTGAGACAGCTAAATGAGCTTTAGTTCCCTCATTTTTCAGATGAGCCTAGAGGAAGATATAAATGACTTGCCCATGTCGAAAAGAATGAGTGTGTCTACAGAAATGTGCAGTTCTGTCTTACGTTAAATCTACCCTCAGGCTTCTTTGAGAAGAGCATTGACCTGCAAGGGCAAAATATTTAAGCCTAGAGCCACTTTCTGCTTTTTTAAAATGGTTTCTGTTGCTCCTGAAAGCCACTTTCAAGATCAGAGAACCACACACAAAGGAGGCCAAGCCTGCAATGCCAGGAACCATTGTACTGCTACATTGTAGTTGTGGATTTAGCTTCGTATTCAAGATGAAGCATAGAGAGGGAAGGAAAAAAGGTAAAGCAAGGGAGCTCTACCCTTGCTCTCTAAAGGAAATTTAAAATGTTACCAAAACTGAGTTCTCTACATTAGTAAGGCAAGTACATGTAACAGCAACATCAGGTAAACCAATTCAACATTTCTGAAGGAAGATACGGTCTCCTGTTGTAAAAGGTAACAGCTTTATTTAGTATTGCTCAGAGGTAGCACAGGACTGATCTGCATAGATAATATCCCCGCAGAAAGAAATAATCACAAAATTAGCACTTGTTTCCCCGGACTGGCAGTTGATCACAGTGGCATGCTCATACGCAAGTCTAAAAACTTCCAGATCTTTTTTACAAAAGCAGAAGATAATCCTATGAGCTATAGCACTTGTTTTCTAACCGTTTAACTCTTTCAGAAATAATCTGATTAAGGATCATACTCTAGCACTTTGCCCCAGAGTAGCCCTGGAGTTCCACAGGAGCAGTCATCCCCTTACTGCATGGATTGACCCAGCTGCCTTTCGGCAGTGCAAGCCACATGGTACTGCAAGGCCAGCCACTGCTGGGTGGACAAACGTAAAGATTTCTGTGCAAGTCTTACTTTCCTGTCCTGTAGCTAACTTGACCATAATATCAAGACAGTCCTTCCTGACCTCTGCTACAGCTATTTAGCTCTAGGTAGTTTGCTGTCATTTAAAGCTAAAGTCTCAGCTGAAGTTGTTTAATGCTTTTTAACATAGTTGAGATGTTCTTTACTTATTCTGCTCCCTTTTCTAGGTTCTAAAGTCATTTAAGGTGCAGCTGGTGGGTTTATTCTGACCACTTTTACACCATCTTTGCTCAGTGCTTTACAGGAGAAATGTTAATTTGTTTTTTTAATAAGATAACTTGCTTACACACAGTTGTGGCACTCCTGCAGCTTTTAACCTCCCAGTCACCTGCGCTAAGACCTGGGTTCTCAAGAGTTGCCAACCCTCAGTTAACCTACTGCAATCACTGGGCATTTGGGACCAAGATACTTCAGTGGCTAGGGTCCAGCTTCTTGCAGAGAATGTAGAGAAAAATAATTGATTCCACCTAAACACTTTACCTATTGCTTGGCACAAAAAGGCCAGCTCCTGGTTCTGTGTACTTGAGAGCATTTGTATTGCATGTAATTGCAAGAAAATCTAATATCCTACAGAACTTTCACTCTGCCAGGTCAAATAGTAGGAACTGAAACCAAGCTCATAGAGTGTAAGTTGAGAGTCCTACCTTTTTATTATTGTTAAGAAAAAAAATCTTTGTTACTTCATAACCTAAACCTAAGACTGCAACCTCCATTTCTATTCTAAAGCCAGACAGCAATAGCCTCTGGCTGTTCATACCAAGCAAAGGTTGCTTCCTGCATCAGTGCTCTAATTCTCCAGCTAGGAGGGGGGACTGGTTGCTTCAAAATTTCAATTCTTAAGTGTAATATTCCAGAAATTCACAATAGATTGTGTCCACAGAACCATCATTAGGGCAGCTGAAGTATCAGAGTTCTAGTCTTGAGGTCTCTCAGCAGTGGTCTTCCCAGGAGAAGCATCGCTGGGCTCAGCCAGGCACACACTTGGTCTGCACTGCTCAGTTCCAGTGGATGCCAAGGAGCTCACAGCTCACACTCCAGAGCTTCTTTGCTGTTTCATCATCCCGACCCCATGGAGATACATATGCTGGCTGGCAATCACTGTAAGAAAAAATAAAAATAAAAAATATTCCTAAGTCAAAGATCTCCACCTGCATTAGCGCACTGAAATGTCTGTGTTAAGATAATGGACGTGCTTTCTAGCAGCTTAAAATCAAGAGCAATTGAAGGAGGGTGGGAGGCTATCCAGCAAATGAGCAAGGGTTGGTGCTAAGCCACGCTGAGAAAGCTTTCTTTCCAACTGGCAAGGGAAGAGTGTCTCTTCTACCCACTACCAAGAACTGGCAAGCCAGTCTAGCTCTATCTGTTGTCCCCACTCTTAAAGAAACCTATATATGCTCTACTGTATACTCTTCAGTGCACAGTCTCATTAACTCCACTAAAAACAGCTATAAATGCTAATCAGACTTCTTCAGGGGCACCTTTTCTAGCAAACACTACCCAAAAGCCACTCAAACAGCCTTTCAGTCTAAACAATTTATCCCATCTTATTCATTCCACTATATTGCCATTGTGCAAAAGGCAAAGCTGCCCCAGAATAATAATACTGCAATAACCATGTAAGGTTATCCCCTTTTCCATTATCCTCTGAACTGTGGCTCCTTTCTTCTCAGCTCCTGCCATTAGACAGCACGCTGTCTGGAATAGAGATCATGTGTTCTCATTTGTAATGCTAGATGCTGCTGCAATAACATGGGAGTTTAAGAGAACTGAGGAAATTGCATCTCGTAAGATTTCTATCCGGCCTACTGTTTTTAGAGGTCCAAGTGCAGTCTCTGATGTTCCTGAAATGACTTTGAATTCCACCTGTCTTGCCGTGGCATGCAAATTCTTTTATTAATGTCTATAATTGTGCTTTATATTCTATTGCCTGGAAAGTGAAAAGAATTTTAGGCTAGTCCCATGTAAACTGTGAATTTCTGTTGAAGCTATTCATTTCCCACTACATCCAAAACTCCGTTCTTTTACAAGTTTAAAATCCACCAAAGTTTTCTGTACTCCAGCACATAAATGCTCCCTTTATATCCTGGGCCAGACAGTCATTCAGTGAGGATTAAGACATCTATTTATACATTCAAGTCTGATTAATATGTTACAAACTCCCAAGCAAAGATCAGACAAAGTCATTACAGACTAATCTGGTCACATATCACAAGAAAAAAAGCTCTGCAAAGATGCAAAGGCTCTGACAGTATCCATCTGAGTAATAAGAAAAATTTTCACATCAATTTCCTAAACCCCAGTATTGTTATATTGCTCTACACCCAGTGGGAAGCTGACAGACAAATCTGCATGAATGTGTTCAAATGGCAGTCTTCAAATGTAGGATGATAATGACTTGGAACTGATCTGGGATGTAGTTTTGGTGAGGGGAAGTGGTATAACTATGCAGGGTCCTGGAGTAAGTCAAAAAACAGTGTTGGTAGTGAGAGCTACATGAGACAGTTTGCAGGACAGAGCAATAGGCATCCCAGCAGAAGTTGCTCCCAGCTGCTGGGTCTGTCACAGGGGGGAATCAAGTTATTTTGTCACATGCCGGTCCTGAAAATCTGTCCACCTAGCTCTGCAGCACCATCAGCCCTCCCAGCTCCCTGGGAGCACAGGCCTCTTCTGCTTCAGTGGGGTAAAACTACAAAGAGAACCAAAGTGGTCCTCCCAGGATTTACTCAAGTGACCTCATTAACTAAACAGCTCTACTGAGAAGTGATTTGCCTAATTCTCAGGCAGATCAGGATTAGAGCTCTGAGCATGTGACAGCCATTCCTGCACTTTGAGTACAGTAATACTCCTAGCACTAAAGACCCTGCTACTGTGTGAAGTGTTGCACAGGTCAAAGATTTCTAGCACAACACCCACTGCAACAGACCTAGAAGGGGCAAATCTTTAGTATTATTAGCCAGCCTCTTACCCGGTCCATTCTTAATGAAGCAGGACAGTAAGTCTCATTTTCCACAGCTTGCACTCACCTGAAATACTGTCCTGTCACAGATTCTAGCTCCTCTGCTACTGCACAGTAGATGCTGGTCTGAGCTCCTTCCCAGGGTGTCTTCAAGAAGAATGAGAATATCTTCCACAGCCACGTCATTACAAATGAGTGCCGGACCAGCTCAGAATGGACAGAACCAGGATGGAGAGCGTTTGCTGTGACTTTAGTGCCTATAGCAGAAGAAAGTAGTCCAGGACAAGTCTGCATGTATCAAACTGCCTTTAAAAAAAAAGGGTAATATACTCCTCAATTCTGCAGATATTCTACAACTTAAAGGAGGAGTCCAGGCATGGATACAGGGAGAGTAAGTGAAGTTCTCTGTAGTTCCTGCTTGGTGGAACATCCCCTTCTCCCTTCCCAACACTGCAGTCACTGCATGACTTCTGCAAAACACCATGCTAGAGGGGCTGGGTGCTAAAAACAGCAGCAGTTTCCATCAGGCTTTTGAGAACACCAGCTTCTTTTGATTTACTGTAATACTAATTTCCTAGAGAAGACACTGCTTCTGTTTTAATAAAATAAACACTACTTCAGTTTATAAAAAGGACTGAAGGACATGGCTGTGACAGATGTTGTGACACTTAAGAGGTACTGTCTAGTTTTATGCTTCTGTTCTACAGGCCATCAACATTTCAGGCAGCTGAGTATGCATTAGCTTTTCTATTGGAGACTGCAATTGGAGTTCAGCTCCTTCTGGTTTTCAGCTTCTGCCCCCATACTAGAATTGTCTGCATGGATGCAGCTAGTTTATGACAAGCACCAAAGAAAAACGAAGTACATTCAACTGTGCCAAGCTACTAAACCCTTCTGCCCTGTTGATGTAAAAAATTAGTGTTTGAAGTCTCCTGACTCCACAGACAGGAGATATTTTCATCCTGCAAAGAGCTGTCAGTGACCCTTGCCTCAAACCATTTTATTTCTGCACAGCCAGTTTCCAGACCTTTCTTCAATCCATTCTCCTCATCCATGGTGCTCAAAAGTCAATCAGAAAAACACTCTGCACTCCTCTGGGACTTGCCTTGCAGCCGCCTGGCCAGCTCCCGGGTGAAGAGCACGTTGGCCAATTTGCTGTGGCAGTAGGCGAGGCCACGATTGTAGCTCTTCTCACCATGGAGATCATGGAAGCGGATTCGGCCTCCGTGATGAGCCAGTGAGGACACGTTCACTATGCGGGCTGGGGCAGACTGCTTCAGACGCTCCAGCAATAGGAAAGTCAAGAGAAAATGACCTAAGGGTGAGAGGAAATGTCATCCTTTTCTGAAGGGTTCCCCTGCTGAAATTCCAAAGTATTTTTGACATATTACTTGTATCTTACTGCTGCCCTCATTTCAAGTCCAGGGAAAAGAAGACACCCCCTCCCCACCCCCCAAATCAACAGTTAAACCTTTTTAGGGCCGTCAAGTTCTGCTCCTCAGTTTCAGAAAGCTGGAGCTGTCATGTATTTCAAATGTCCCAGGTAACATGTACGGATACTTAAACTGGGTCTATGATAAGGAAATACATTGTATTGCATCTCCAGAGCTCTGCCTGGCCTTCCATCCTTCCCCAAGAAACAAGGATAAGGAAGAGAAAATCTCAAGGCAGGATTTTTCTCTGGCATTTTGTCACAGACACTGAATGCAAACATGACTTCACTGGCCTTACCAAGATGGTTGACTCCCAGGTGCATCTCAAAGCCATCAGCAGTCTTGGAGTAAGGGCATAACATAACTCCAGCGTTATTAATGAGAATATGGAGTTCCTTCTCCTCTGCAAAAAACAAGACATCCTTAAAGAGGGAAACAAAGTCTGAAGACAGACAAGAAGGTGGCACAAGTCAGCCAAAAAGCCCCATGCCTGTCTGAGTTGCAGCAACATTGCCTCGATAAAAAAAGGGCAAGTCTCCTACCACAAATTAGTTCATGGCCTCTGACAAGCCCCCGCTGTGAACCGCAGTCCCCAACATGGTGCAAAGATATACAGATCAGGGATTTAGCATTTGGAAGAAGAGCAGACAGTGGTCCTTGGTAAAATATTCTCACTGAAAAGAAGGACTGTACCTGCTAGAAACTTCTCAGCAAACTCCCGGATGGACTTCGTATCAGCCAAGTCCAGTTTTTTCACAATGACTTGCTGGTTTCCTGTCTCAGCTCGGATTTCACTGGCTGCAGCTTCTGCCTTTGCTATGTCCCTGCAGGCAACAATCACCCTTGCACCTGCAAGGGGTGGGGGGGGAAAAGCAGGAACAGAAGCTGAGATCACTGGAGCACGCTGGATGATCAATGCTACAACAAGGAGTCTGACTACACACAGTGCTTACAAATAATCTATTGTTTCTTTAGGTAATCAGCATCAGTCAGGGCAGCAGCTGGGAGGGACAAGCCTATGCTACTATGGTGTTAGCTCCAATCCAGCCCAAAGCTGTTTCCAGACCAAGAAAACGCACATCTGAAGTACCTCTGTCCAGGTTATCGCAGGTCAGGTGTGTGCACCACAACACTGGTATGACAGGGTTGTAACTGCCCCATGATGGTAGTTTAAACTCCTTACCAGTTACCCAGAAAGCATTTAAACCAAATTAGCTTGAGCCACAAATAACTAAAGCACCCAGCAGTGGACCTGTGACATTTCCCAGCTTCACACAAGCTGAACCCTGTGATACCTGGAACTTCCCCAGTCCTCTCAGAACAGTTGCAGGGGCAGAGTATTGTCATGTCACAGGGCCCGTTTCTGGAGTTCAAGTAATGAAACCAGTTGAGGAACTGAGGACTTGCACCGGTGTGGTTACAGCCTCAGGAGGAGCAACACTTGGGTTCACCTGAAATAACTTTGGAATCCAATTCACTTAAACGCAAGCATAAAACACATCCTCCCCTGGATCCAGGAAAGGGACTGCTGGCACGCAGGGACGCCTGCGGCTGGAGGCGGGTGACTTGCCTCTCCGAGCGAGGTCTCTGGCCGTCTCCTTCCCGATGCCTGTGTTGGCTCCTGTGATGACCGCCACCTTCCCCTCCAGCTGAGCCGTCGACCTGCACCGTCCTCCAGCGACATACCTCCTGCGGGGGGGCGGCAGCCATCAGGGCGCCAGCGCCGCCGGCACCTTCCCTCCCCAGGGCGCTCGGCTCGGGGCTGGGCGGCCGGCGGCCCGAAGTTTCTCTGCGCTCAGGACCCCGGCGGGTCACGGCCGTCGTTACACGGTGGATCGCGATCGTATCGTGACGGCGCCACCGGGAAGCCACCCCCTCCCCCCCACCGCGGCTTTTCAAACGGCGGCGGGGCAAGGCCCCGCCCCCCGGGCCTCGCCCCGCCCTAACGTCAAGTGGGGCCACGGTTCCCATTGGCTGCCGCCGTGCCCTCCAGAGACTTGGCCAATAGGCTCCGCCACGGCGCGGTGAGGAGAAGGCGGGCCCCGCCCCAACGGGCACCCCGCTCCGGCGGCCGCCTCCCCCCACCCCCGGGGCCGCGCACGGAGCCCGCGGCGGGCGGCCGGTGCCGGGGCTGAGCCGGGCCCGAGCCGGCCAACCCACCGGGCTGCCGTGAGACGCGGCGTGGGCCGGCGCCGCCCGCCGCTGCTCGCACACGCGGGGGCCGCGTTCGGAGGGACGCACCTGATGCGGGGCGCTGCCAGGAGAAGGAGAACGGGGAGGGAGACGGCGGCCGCCAGCGCAGCTCCCCAGCAGCCGAGCATCGCCGCCGCCCGCTCTGCCCGCGCCGCCGGCGCTAAGCGCCGCCCGCCCCGCCCCGCTCCGCCCCGCCCCCGGGTGCGGCCGCCCCCGCCCCTCAGCCGGCGGTGCCGCTCCCGCGTGCTCCCGGCCGGCCGCGCTGCGCCAGTCCTTCGGAACAACCCGAAAACCGCTGTTTTTTAATGGCCCTTTCCAACCAACCACCCGCGAAACAGCTGAAGAGAAAGCCCAGAGCCTGGCTGGCTGGAAAGACGCTTGTAAAACACGTTTTCGCGGCCTGGCGCCAGCGCTTTACGGTTGTAACGCCAGCGAAATGCGGGGAACGAGGCACCCGCTCGGGCGCCGGGTTCGGCGGCTCTCACTCCGCCCCCGGACTACAACCCCCAGCAGGCAGTGCGCGCCGTGAGGCCCCCCCCCCCCCCCCCCAGCAGCAGCCCCGGGCAGCGCCTGACGCGCCTTAGCGCCGGCGACAGCGCCGTCGCGACTCCCCACTATGGCGGACAGCCCGCGGCGGGCTGCCCACGCTGCTCCCGCCGCCGTGGAGGGGGGGAGGTTTGTGGTCGGGCGGTGTCACGGGCGCCCGGGTGGGCGGATGGCGGAAGCGCCTCGGGAGGGAGCGGCGCTGCGCTGCGCCGCCGCGTAGCTGAGGGGGCCGGGGGGAGGGCGGTGTCCGCCATGGCGGGCCGCGGCGCCGGGTCTTCGGAGCACCTGGAGCGGCTGCATGAGATCTTCCGGGGCCTGCACGGAGAGCTGCGGGGCGTGCCCGAGCGGCTGCGGGGCAGCGTGGCCGGTGAGGCGGCGGCGGCCGGCCCGCCCTCGTGGCTTGGCGGGAGGGCGCGGAGCGGCCGGGGCTTGCTGTGGGGCCGTTGCAGGGGCGCCTGGGCGCTTTCGCCGTAAAGAAACCCGTTTCTACAGCAGCCGGCGGGCAGAGTTCTTTTAGGAAAGCCGGGGGGGCGGGGGGGGAAGGGGAAGGAGTCCGCCAAGGCAGTTGTAGAGGTTTAGTGCACCGCTTTGGGTAGGCGCCTCCTTGGAGGGGGCAGGTGGTTTTGCTTAGGCCTGGCTTCGCTGTGTGTTATTTTTCAGTTGCCGCTATGTTTTGGTAACTTTGCTCCTGAGCGTTAGCTGCGGTTGGTGCTTTACTCCTGTGGAGCAGCTCCTCTTGTCTGGCAAATTTCAAGTCCACGGTCAAGTGCTGCAGTGCTGGCCTTTCAGTTTCAGTCTTATCTCTGAGGAGGAGTTGTGATTTAGATGTTACTTCGTTATGTTTCTAGGTGAACTGCCTAAACTGCCGTGCTTTGGGGTTTTTTCCTTTTTTTTTTTTTTCGTCATTGTTGGACTATTGTTTCAAATCACATCACCAGAATTAGAAGCAGTTTTTATTATCACAACTGTCCACACTTGTAGACTTAGTGCCGAAGATTTGCATTTTAAAATGACTGTTTTAGAAGCCTGGTTTGTGCACCACCAATTCACAGACTAGAAAAAACTACACAAAGTTTTATTAGAAGCAAAACCTGATTTTATGGGTATTCTTTATATGATACGAGTGGGTAAAACACTCTGAGAAAACACTTATTTGTAGGACCTGGCATTGTGCTTCTAAGTCAGTTCTACATACTTGGCAGTATTCTAAGAACCAGAAAGGGAAGTGATCTGATAAGACTTTTACCAATGTCACCAAATCTTTCTGATTAAATATTTCCTTCATATGAGAAGCATGATACGTGGTTATGGTGAGCTGCTGTAGCTCAGCTTGGGTTTTGTACCACAGGAATGAGTAGGGGCTATCTGTCATTCTCCCAGAATCAATTTTATGTGCTTAAGTATAAAATCAAAAACGGTTTGTTCAGAATTTACCGGTCTGCGCTAGATAACACAGGCTATGCAAAGCTTAACATTTTGTTTCTTACCTGGCTTTCTGTTTAATAACAAGTTAAATTTGGTGTCATAGTCCTCGTCATCAGCATTTCCAGAAAGTTTGGTACAAGAAAGATGTTCAAACCTGCAAACAACAACTTTTGAAGCTGACTTAATTTCATTAGCAGTCAACAAGAATAAAAAGCATGAAAGAAGAAATGCCCTTTCTTGTAGGATATCCTTATCTTCTTTTAGAAAAGAGACTGGTTAGTCTCTTGGTGAAGCAAAGTTCTGTCAGGTCTCCATGGAACTGGGATAGTCTTGAGCAGTGGGCTTAAATGGAGTATTTACAGACAGCAGTTTTTGCAATGCTTGTAGATTATTTGTGATCTGTTGAAAAAAAAAATAATTACAGACATATTTCAGACACACTATGAAGTTCTAATATGACTGTTTTGTTCTTTAACTTTTTTGCTGCAAAAATCCGGGTAATGTTTTTGGAAAGTATTTCTAAGAGAGTTTAAGATAAGTCAGGAATATGTCTATCTGGTAAAGGTGTTCCACTCTCCTAATATGTTTTGTTTGCTTCTTGCACTTACAGGGAGGGGTGTGTGTCTTTATTTTGAGTTGTCTGATCCTGAAAACTTCAGGAGGTGATAAAAGATACTTTTTTTGATTGGCACACTCTCGAACTCGAGGGAAGACAGAACCTGTAGTCCTTAGCACATCTTAGGAGGGCAGAGGTTTGGAAATGCTGATGCACTCTGTATAAATGAGATAACAAATTCCTAGCTCTGGCAACAAATTTTTTTCTTCAAAATTTGTAAGAAGGCATTTTAAACAGCCTGGATCTGTTTCAAATATAGATACTTCCCTCTAAACTATTTCATTTAGCTGTACTTTTCAACTGGATCTATTTCTAATTGATTGGAAATCACAGACTGGTTTGGGTTGGAAGGGACCTTAAACATCACCTAGTTCCCACCCCCCTGCCCCGGGCAGGGCCCCCTTCCCCCAGCCCAGGGTGCTCCCAGCCCCGTCCAACCTGGCCTTGAACCCTGCCAGGGAGGGGGCAGCCACAGCTGCTCTGGGCACCCTGGGCCAGTGTCTCACCACCCGCACAGTGAGGAATTCCTTTCTTATATCTAATCTAAACCTACCCTCTTTCAGTTTAAAACTGTTACCTCCCATCCTATCACTACACCCCCTGATAAAGTCCCTCCTCATCTTTCCTGTCACCTGCTTTAAGTACTGGCAGGCTCCTAGAAGGTCTCCCTGGAGCCTTCTCTTCTCCAGGCTGAACAACCCCAACTCTCAACCTGTATTTGAAGGAGAGGTGCTCCAGCTCCCTGCTCATCTTCATGGCCTCCTCTGGACCCACTTGAGCAGGTCCGTGTCCTTCTTATGCTTGGGGGCCCCAGAGCTGGACACAGCACTGCAGGTGGGGTCTCACTAGAGCAGAGTAGAGAGGGAAAATCCCCTCCCTCGACCTACTGGCCACACTTCTCTTAATGCAGCCCAAGATACAGATGGATCATATTCAATTTTCCATCCACTGCTCTCAGTCTGCTCATCGCCCAGCCTGGATTTGTGCTTGGGTTTGCCTTGCCCCATGGGCAGGACCTTGCACTTGGCCTTGTTGAACTTCACAAGGTTTGCACGGTCCCACCTCTCCAGCCTGCCCAGCTCCCTCTGGATGGCATCCCTGCCCTCCAGCGTGTCACCGCCCCACACAGCTCGGTGTTGTTGGCGAACTGGCTGAGGGTGCGCTCGGTCCCACTGGCCGTGTCACCAACAAAGATGTTAAACAGCGCCGGCCCCAGCACCGACCCCTGAGGAATGCTGCTCGTCACTGGTCTTCACTTGGACATCCAGCCGTTAACCACAGCTCTTTGAGTGAGACCATCCAGCCAGATCCTTATCAGCCAAGTGTTCCATCCATCAAATCCATGTCTCTCCAATTTAGAGACAAGGATGTAGTGCAGGACAGTGTCAGATCAGTTAAAGGTTAATGAGCACGTGGGTAATGTTACTGTGGCATAGGTACTTTTTCCTTTTACTGCGTTAAAAAAGTTCTCTCAATGTAGTTTGAGTCAGGGTTTAATCCAGAGTGGTATGAATTAAGATGCTCAGTATATTCTGGCATCTGGCCAGATCCAGTATAATGCTTTCAAGGCACATTGCCTGATTTCTTATTGGTATATAGACAAAAAGACTTGAGCCATTGCTACTTGACTTCTGGAAACTAGCATTTCTTTGGCTGCTTGGTTATAAGTGCAGTGTCGTCTTAATCCTCTTGGGGGACACAGAGAAGTTAAAATACTTTTTTTCCAGTACTGCACCAGGTTTCAATTAGTTTGAGACAGCAGTTGTTCCAAGAGGTTTCTACTTAAATCAGATTAGTGAAATGGGGTGTGTGAAACAAAATATTGACTTCTGAAGGGTGTTTTCCTGCAGTTCACATCCATGATTTCACTTGCAACCCAGCTACGCAAATAATTGCATCGGCACAAATGTATGTGGTGGCAAATCACAGAGGAAGTTGAGGAGAATGTTTTTAGGAGCCTCCTAAGTCAGCATTTCCTCCTGAATAAACTGGGGATGTGAAACTGCATTTCCTCATACCAGCTAGTGTGACATTTATTAACAGTCATGATGTAGCTTAGTTTGTAATGACTCTGTGTGCTACTGGTGAGCATAGATTTGCATTAGATTATGGGGTTTCTGTTTTAAGTTCTCTACAGTTCAAATTCTGGGGCTTAATATGGATTTGAACTGCATGTCGTGTATATGCAAGGAGCTACAGGAAAATGTTTTGATCACTTCAAATTTTTTTCCTCTTCTCTGTTGAGAGCTCAGGGGTTTAAAAACTGCTTCTTCTGCAGAGAAGTATGTTTACAAAAAGGTATTATCAAGTAATTTTTTTACCGCAACAGTGTTTTCATAATGTTGACTTTAGTTTTGTCTTTAAGTTTAATCAAATGAGAGAAGTTTTATCGAGACGATTGTCTGCATTTTTTACTACCCAGAATTTTATGTAAGACTGAATTATTCTCTCTTGAGAGCGATGAATTAGGCTAGTGAATATTTATCAGACTGCTGATAGAATTTGGTTTCATTTGCAGTATTCTTCAAGAGTCCACTGGTGGTTGTCTTCAGGGCTTTTGCAAAAGCTTAAAACCCATACATTTTAGCTCCATTGAGATAAGGGGAGTTTCAGAATTATGCTTTCATAGATCGTGGATATTAGAGAGGTATGATAGTTTTTTAACACATGCAAAATACATGTCTTAAGGTTTTGTTTAAAAATAGAATAACAGCGATGAAACCCATCCTTTGGCCTGTAAAGCCTTAGATACAAGGATCTTCGTAAATGACTCTCAGACAACTGAAATGTTTAGTTTTGTTGGATGATTCAAACAACTTCCAGAAGAGGGAAGCATTTGGGCATCAATCCATGAACCTGAGGTGCTATCTTGATGGCATCTTCAATCTCAGAGTACTCTAGAATGCTTATACCTGTTCCCAGTTACTTTATGACCACCAGAATGCAGAGTGCCCTGTCTGCCAGGAGCGTCAGGGCTCACTTGGGAATGTAGACTGACTTGATGTTCTGTTCAAATCCAAATTAGAGTTTGAGCCTTCAGTAATCTTGCCAAATGCGTGCAAAAAATAATAAATATTTATTAGGTGTTTATCAACATGTCCTCTTTGTTATTCTTTCATGTTAAATGTTTTTCAACATGCAATTCTGTCAGTGGAAATTGGAGGATAATAGGTAACAGAAATATTTCAGGTTTGAAAAATGACTTATGTTGTCTGCCAGAGGTAGTGGCCAGCATTTAGAAGGGTGATTTCTGCTCTCTCTCCACCCCCACCTCCAGAAAAGTTGTAAGAACAGGCTGTTCCTGTTTGAGGTAAATTTTGACCTCAGATACTCTCTGTAATCAGCCATCTGTGGCAGCTTCCTTGTCTATAATGGATTGAGTTGGAGTTCTGTTGTCATTTCTCTGTAGTTTATCTGACATGCTACTTTTTCTTCCACAGAGGAGAAGAAAAAATTAGTTCGAGAATTTGATGAGAAACAGCGTGAAGCAAATGAAACGGTAAACAAAAGTCTAGGCTTCTGGCCTTTCTGACTGGTTGAAATACTGATGCTTTAAAAAGGACAGCACTTCCAAATGTTCTTTCTATATGGATCCTATTCTGGCGGGCAGATGATGTATTTTTTTAAATGTTTGATTAATCGATCTGAATGGTGTGTCTGTGTTTGTCAAGACTGTTGTATGTATCTGTGTGGATATTGTTGTGGTTTGAGCCCAGAGGGCAACTGAGCACCAGGCAGCCACTCGCTCACCCCTTCCCCCTCAGGACTGGGAAGGGGAAAATAAAGCAGAAGGCTTGGGAATTGAGGTAAGGACAGGGAGGGGTCACTCGCCCATTACGGTCATGGACAAAAAACTCTGCTCCAGCGCACCTCCCCCCCTTCCTCCTTTCTTCCACTGACCTTGGTGTTTGCCTAGGTGTCTCTCACAACTTCTCACAACTCCAACTCCTCCTCCTGGGTTCCACTTCTTAAATACGTTATCGCAGAGGCGCAGCCACCGTCACTAATTGGCTCGGCCCTGGCCAGGGGTGGGGCTGACTTGGAGCTGGGGGAGCTTCAAAGCCTCGAGAAGCTTCTCACAGGGGGCCACCCTTATAGAGCCCCCTCCCCTGCTACCAACCCCCCCCACACACACATGGATGCAGCACATTCTACCCCTCGCCTCTGCAAATCACATATTTAAGATATACATATACAGATATAGACAGATACTCGTAAGGGCTTTTTTTTTTGTTTTAAATTTTGAGTGCTTGATGTGGATATTGCCTTCCCTTTGAGCCAAGGAGAGTGATAGAGGTGCAGTTAAAATTGCTAGAGATTGTAGGGAGGCCATGTAGAGAATCTGCTTTTTTTTTGTTTTTTTTTCTTTTTTTCTCCCTCTACTGTCTTTTTTCATATTGATCTTAACCCATCTAATCTTCCTGTAGTAGTCTGATGGTTAAATATCAGGGATCTTGAATAGTTGAAACCTCTATTGTATAGGCTTCCTGGGCAGGTGGTGACATGGAAGAACACAAAAACCCCCATGTGACTTCTGTCTTTAAGCAAGACATTATGGATTAAGCTTTCTTTTGATATTAATGTGCTGTTAGGATGTTTTTGAGTCACAGCCGAATGTGATGCTTTATTCCTCAAACTTACTGGGTTTTATTGACATGTGTCTTTGTAGGTGATGTAGGAGATGTAGAGCTCATATCGTGAAAGATCCCATATTGGCAAAGAACTTGAAGCGCTGTGAATTTGTAACAACTGTCACTAAAAGTTGATGTGAAAAATCACCCATCCAAAATCTCAGGGTTTACAAATCCTAATGGTTACCAGGCCCAGGCGCTCAGAGTATGAATTCAGTGGCATGCCTACCTGTGCGGTACAGCTCTGTTGCATGGATGTGATGAGAACCTGATACCCATCCGATAAATGCTGAAACTATACAAAAGCCAGAGCTTACAAACTGTGAAGTTAGAGTGGCGTTTCAGAAAAAAGCAGGCACTTAAGCTTGGCAATTTTTTTTTTTCCTTCCTTGGGGCATTCTGTCTCTGGAAATCTGTGGGGGCTGAACAGCATTAGGCAGGATGGGGTACTCGATAGTAAATGAGGGGCATGGGGTTAATCCTGCTCACCCAATCACATACAAACACGTGAATCCCTTCATCTGGTGGTGAGTTTTGAATATAGATGCTGATAAGAATAGATCTGGTGCTTTAAAAAATAAACACCTTTTCTTTTATTAAAGCTGCGGGAAATGGAGGAAGAACTGAAGTATGCTCCTCTGCCTTTCCGCAACCAAATGATGAGCAAAATCCGGGCGTACAGAAGAGACCTCTCCATGTTCCAGAGAGAGATGAGAAGCACAGATTTGGGATTGGGCCCTGGAAATCAAGGCGATATAAAATACGGAATCTTCTCCACAGAAAATGAACAGAGTGTGAGAACAAGATAGAAATTTTATTTAACACTGCTGTGATTGTTTAATAATAATATTCCAGATGTATTGTTTACAGTGTTTCTCCTTTAATCCACTGAGCTTCTGTGCTTGTATAACTCCCTGTACATCTCTCTGCATGTAACATCAATATTGCAGGGAGGAGAAAGAACACCTGGAACTCAAAGGAGAGCTTTTCTGTTCTAACACAAAGATATGAGTATAAGCAAAATGGAACTCCTTGAATGCCATGCGGTTAGTAACTTACACAACGTTCTGTACTGAAATGCTTTATTTAATCATTCCCTTACGGCAGTGAAAACACAAAAGTGATGCTTCTGACTGAGAGGAAAGGTAAACTGATCTCATTCTGGTCTCCAAAACTAGCAAAGTGTGTGAATCATGCATTGCATAGGTTCTCTGGTAGAATTCTCATTTAAGCAATCTCAGTGTAAATAATTACAGGAAAATGTAAGAAGTCATCCTGTAGCACTTAGTTCACTGTGGATGTGCTGCTATGGTGCAAGATACACACACAGTTTCTTTGTTTACCAGAGCTAGTGAGCCTGAATCTGCTGCTTACCTTCAGGCTGCCGCCAGCTCTACGGAAGGTTCCTGGGGGTGGGCTTTTTGTTTGCTGGCTGCAGACAGGGAAGGGTTGAGAGAGGCTCTTTCCTTAGTATCTCATTCTGCAGTAGCTTGGTAAATTTTTGCATTTGATTCTGATTGCTTTGTCTAAAACCTGAGAGCAGGGTGGTAGATCAGACTTTCTGAAGCTTAAGAAAATACTTTATTGTGAGCTTCCTTTCGACCCCAAAGTCAGCAAACATTTCTTATCCTCTAGCTGAGGCTACTGACATGAAAAGAGGAGGATCTTTGTTACTTAGCAGTCCATCTGTTAGTTAGTGCTGCTTGTTCCTAATCCTTTTAACTGTAAACTCTTAATGCTCTCCCCAGCAACCAACTGTGAAGTCACAAATAAGATTGAATTTAGATACAAACGGAAAGAAAAGTTAGCATCTGGAAAGCAAAGATACCAGTTTTATGTATATGTTCTTTGATGGAAAAGTAAATTGTTGCAAAGAGTTTTTTGTAACTCCTTCACTCTTTAGCCGTGTGTCCTTTTTCAAGGTTTAACGGGATTTCACTGTAACCTTACGATGTGAACAAGAACTCTTTCAAAAGTGACCGGGCTACATCAGTTCAGTTAAGCAGCGTGCAGAGCGAACACAAATGGGTGGCCGATGGAGTCACGGCCTAACTTTCTAATATGTCAGAAGCCTAATGCCTCTGTCTTTGTGCTTAATGGTTAAACATACGTCATTTTTCAGACTCATCTGCAGTCACAGAGGGTGCTGCTTCTCCAGGGAACAGACAGCCTGAACCGAGCCACGCAGAGCATCGAGCGCTCGCACCGCATTGCTGCCGAAACAGATCAGATCGGCACCGATATCATTGAGGAACTTGGGGAGCAGCGGGAGCAGCTGGAACGCACCAAGAGCAGAGTGAGTAAGCAGGGAAACTGTGGGCACCGTAGTGAAACAACCTGGTGTTAGCTGAGGGGACCTGCATGCCAGTCGTTACGCTGAGACCTCCCTGGGCATGGTAATCCACTTGGTGGTCGTTTCTGCAGACCGAATCCAGGCTGCCACGTTTCTGTGCCGTGCTCATGAAAGGAAAATAATTATTGTAGGTTTGAGGGGAGTATTTTTCTTTCGTGCCCAAAGAAAGATGGCCAAATGTGTGCTGCTGTGGCTGGGCAAGATTGGATATTAGAGCTAGAAATCTGCTTAAAAAAAATAGCACTACTGAAAAAATTAGATTTAAAAAATTGCTTAGGAGTTGCTCACCACTAGATTACTAGTAAAGGTTTAGATTTGGGAGGCAGTTACCAAGTTCTTCTAATGAAATTAAATTTAATTGAAACTTAATTATTTACTACTTCCAATATCTGTAGGTTAGCTAAGGAGGGAGAAAGTGGTGTCAGACAAGATGCCTGTTCCTCGGGTCAAGGAGCCTCGGTTCTACTGTGGAAGCTTTGAACAAGTAGTTAATTTGTTATGTTTACACACATATGCAAAACTGAGAATTTGATTTTTGAAGTAATAAACTGATGGCATTTTCTGTGTGTACAAGGGGTCCTCGGTGTAAAGCTTTTGGATGAGTGACTTGCAAGGGGATGGTGAGTTTGCCAAGTAAGCGCACTCAGCCAAAACAAAAAGCAAACCTCTTTTCTTAGGAGCTAGCTCTACTTGCAACAAAGCCTGTAGCTTTTTCATTTAAGCAGTTTTTCAATTTCAGCCAAAATTTTATTTGCCCTGCTCCCAAACTTGGGTTGGAGATCAGGAAAGGAAATGTGATCTTAAGATTTGTAGGTATAGTTTTTGTCCATTCTTTTTCTACTTAAAGATATTAGAGTCCTTCAAGCACATCAGTCTATCCACAGATTGTTTGTGAAGGTGCGACTGTTGCTGCGAGCCTTTAAGGCACTGTGTTGCTGAATTGTATTAACCACACATTCCAACTAGAAGCGGATTTTCTTCTTGTTTGGTCTTGCATAGCAAAGATCAGAAGTCTAGTATGCTTCGGGTAGACTTTGTAGTTTTCTTCCCAGCTTGGTCCAGTCCCTCCCAGTGCAAAGGAACGCACCTCCGGGGCCAGCTGTGCGGCTGGGGGCAATAGCTGAAGCCACAGAGGAGCTGTGCAGGCAGGTGCCTGCGATGGGGAGCGAGCGAGCTGGCTTACCTTTCACTGCCTGGGAAGGCTCAGAAGTGGAACAGGGAAACCTCTGCCCGGGGAGCTCCAGTGGCTGTACGCCCCGAATCCTGACTCTGTGGGACAACAGCTTTCTTAGCTGTCTCTAGCCTCACTTAATTACGTGCTTCTTAGCAGGTGACTTAGAAATACTTGGCAGTTCATTTCTGAGCATTACAAAGCTGAAATGGATTATCTGTTAACAGTTCAGAGCTTGTATCCACTGGGTCACTTCGACCTGCCAGTGCAATGTGGTTCGTCCTTTGCCAGCGATTGAACAGCATTTCGGATGGCTCCAGATACGCACTGGGGAGAGCACCTCAGGATCATTTTCTTCTGGTGTCAACAACTAGAATAATGGCAGGAAACTTAATGAAAGGAATTAATACCAACTTTCTGATATTTGTATAGTAACTAAAGGGGCAGAAAGTGATCCTAACTTGCTTAGCTTTGTATGTAGCTAAGGGAGAGTATACATGGAAGTCTCACTTCCTCCTTAGGAAGGAGACAATGCTTCCGGCTCATATTGTGTATAGAGAACAGTGTTGTCTCTGGATTTTGAAAATAGATGGTTAGCCTTGGTCCCGGTATTAATGGCAGCATTTCAACACTAGCTCCTTCCAGGTGCATCTTTACAGAGTAGTTGTGTACTTGTTAACTGACAGGTAACTTTTGTTTCTTCTTAGTTGGTGAATACAAGTGAGAACTTGAGCAAGAGTCGCAAGATTCTACGTTCTATGTCCCGGAGGTGAGTAGTGTGCCTGATTTGGGGCAGCACTGGGCTGCAGCATTGTTCCCTGCCAGTTTCGTGCAAAAAATAAAGAGCGAGCGGTGTCGGCTGGAACTGCAGGGAGGCTTTAGGGAATGGGTAAACAGAATGTGTGCCCAGGTACAGATGCTACTTTGTGTTTGCTCTGCTCTGGAAATTACTTAATGGAGTACAGGTAGTTGAACACCACTGAATTTGTGCTGCTTGTTTAGGATAATAGAGGGTCTTTAACCACCCCACATGCTGAATTGTGGTGAGCATGTAAGCAAGTTACAGCAAACTGCTAATGGTAACTTTAGGTGCAACTCCTTGTTGTTCATGAATCACTGCAGCACTCACTGTTAGATGTCTGACACAGATCTCTTTAGCCCAGAGTAAAGCTCTATCGTAGCCAGACTGTCATATGAGAAACTCATGATGACTTGTCACGGCTACTTAAGTGTATTTACAGTTTCTTAACTGTATGGTTTAATGATCCTTATAAACTAGTTCATCAAGGTGTATATTTCCAGTAGGTACTTCTAGCCTGACACCATTTCCTTTATACCCATTCCTAAAGGAAGTTCTGGTAATGGTATAATTTTCAGTAGTAAAAATGCATTATTATTTTGAGAGTTTACAGTTTTACATAGTTCCAAGTAAAAGCACGACACTGTGGGCTTTAGGACAGGAGTTCAACTGCTGTTTTCCTCTTCACTTAACTGAATGAGCAGGTGTACACAGAGCAGAATGATCCACCCTATGCAGGACAGGGAAAGAACAAACTGCTAGCGTTGAAGCAAGAAGCTTTAAGCACAATTTCCAGGAAAACATGAGTAGGAAACTACTGAGTGTGTCCCTTCCTGCTTGTTAAGAGCTATTTGAATAGCACTTTGGGGTCTAGCTGAACCAGGGACTATACTTATTGAAGGTAAGAGGGTGATCAAATTATCTAGAATCTGCTCCCATAATCGTGGGGGAAAAAAAAGCTATCTTGGCTTTTTTTTTTTTTTTTACTCTAGAGTTACCACCAACAAGTTGTTACTGTCAATTATCATCATCCTGGAACTAGCCATCCTGGGAGGTGTGGTCTACTACAAGTTCTTTCGCAGCAGATGAATCTTCATGACCAAGATGAGCTTTTCTACTGTTGAGGAACGGGATGGGCTGGCTGTTCCCTGTGACTGTCTGAGGATTGAACTGTCCCATGAGACAGCACAGTCAGCTGAAACTGTACTGACACTAGAGAGACAGAGACTGGGAATAAAAGGAAAAGGCAGAGACAGACTTGAACTACTGGTAAGATGAATAAGAAGGTAATAAATATTTTATTGTCTCCATTTGTATATACTTAACTAAATGAATAAATCTTGGTATGTAATAAAGTAGCCACCGACCAGTGGAAAAGCTAGTTTATTTAAAAATTGAGAAGTTAAACAGTATTTGCCAAGTGTTGACAATCTACCCACTCAAATGCCTCAGCAGAGCTCTGTAGTGTCCTGTGTATCCAACACTGTGGGTTCTTAAATCCTCACTTGCTCTTCACTGTCAGATTCGTCTGGAGAACTGGGTGTTGGGAGTTCATCAAAAGCAGTGTGTGCTCCTTCCCTCGTCTGCCCAAAGCATGTTGCTATCACGTCAACTGCAAGACTAGCAGTTGCATTCACTTCCTCTTGAGAAGCTCCAAGCAGTGGATTGACTTCAACCATGTCTACAGCTGAAAGCATTCCTGTGAAAATGATTTACAGCTTTGTTACTGTCAAGAAGGGTAACACCTCCTGCAGGGTTTCTTTTGCAGCCTTTCATTCCTTGCAGCGAGTCTGATATTTGAGCTTGTGACCTACTCTACCCCTTAGACAAGGAAAATTGGCTCTCAAGTGAGGGATGAGGTTTGTCATTCTTAGATGCAAGTCTGTGCTTTTAATTTGGTTCTTTCTTACATCGCCTCTGCCCTATTCATTCCTGCTTTCAGCATTCAGGAAAAATAAGTCTGATGTTCCATGTACATTTATGAGAGCAATGTTTTTTAATCTTGTTTTCTCCCAGTCCAAAACTTGGGGGATATAAAATAGCCTCGCCTAGTACTTTTTGCCATTTTATGATTCTGTTGACTCTGGGGTTTTTTCCTCCTTTTACTGCAAATAACTCATTGGTTAAGCACATTAAATACAAATTTCAGGGCATAAGGAAGACAGTCCTCATATAGAGGCAAGTGTAGTGTACTTAGTGAAAGCTTGATTTGTTAGCATTGAATGCTAGAATGGGACTTCAAACTGTAGGCAAGCAATTTTAGGCAGTTTTTCATTCCAAATGCCCATTTTTACATCTCACCTCATATGTAGAAATAGGGGACAGTATTATACAAGATGACCAAGTCATTTTTGGCATAACTTGTTACTATCACGTATTTTATTTACTTTTGGTAAGTTGAAGTTGTTGATGGTTCCAGCACCTGGGGACTGCCCAACCCCAGGCCTTCCTTTTCCCTTACTGGAGGCAGAATGGACTCTGTGGGCACCTCAGCTTTGACTACATTTATCTTATTATTTAGTTACACAGGAAAAACAACCAAGATGAGCTCCATGTAGTTTGTCCTGTCCTTGCTTAGTCCAATACTGCTGGTCAACTCCTACCTGTGTTGTGTATTTCCTCCGTGATGTACATGCCTTCTCTGTAAGTCAGGCCACCTAGAACAGGAGTCCCAGTTGCTGGAGCCAGTGAGGGATCAAACGCATCAATGTCAAAACTCAGGTGAATTGGTCTCTGTCTCCTGAGACAGAACAAAACAAGAAAAGCCCTCTCAGAACCTTCAGCTTGTTCTACACGTATTTCTTACTGTCCAGGCTGATCAGCAAAGTAGGGAGCATGATGCTAAAGATCCCCCCCAAGTCTTGTACCATGTCTTACACACATTTGGGAAGGGTTTTTAATTTTTTTAAGTACCTCTGGACTCTGAAACATCTCTGAACTTTCCCTGGTACACAGCAGGAGAACAGAAGTTTGTCTTTTTAGTTTCACTCAACATCTGCTCAGGTGTGATTTGGCTGAAGGTAAGTACTTTAGTTCTAACCACCTTAGCTGGTATTTGTATCCTTAGTTGGAAAAATATAGATAAACATATGATACAATCCAGCTTTTTCTCCTTTTGTACAGAAAGTCACGGTGAAAGGCTGAACATTGATTTGCATGGCATCTAGGATGGAGCAAGCCCCAAGCTTGCGGATTTCATAGACAGCTCATCGAGGTGAATGGGCCAGTCTGCATTTGTCAGGTCGCCAGCTGAAGGCCGCCTCCAAACTGTGTCGTGTCAGCTTAGTTGATGAAAAAGTGAAGGATAATCTCAAACCTATAATATTATATTAGTTAGTTACTATATGAAGTCTGGCAACTGATGACAGCTTAATAAACTGGGCAGTGCTTGTCACTCAGATGAGCTATTTAAGTGGTAGATTGTCCTTCCAACTCACTGCAGGTGCTCAGTAGGGAGCAGCATCTGGATGAGCAACTACTTTACTGAGCACAGCTGGAGCTGGGAGGGGTGAGCACACCTTTAGATACAACAGCACGCAGCACAGCTACACAGACCTCGCTCTGCTTACGGGGCTTTGTTCTACCCTGGGGTGAGAGGTTGCCCTTTCTAACTCTGATCCTCTCCCCACCACCCGGGGCCAGCAGGGTTTGCTCCTTGGTCTGGGTCCCTGGACGTGAGCAAGTGTAGCAGAGGCTCCAGCAGTGACCTGAAGCCCGGGGCTGGTTACAGTGAACGTCACTAGCTGAACCGAAAGTGGCAGCTGCTGTCAGGACAGGGCATGTGCACATCATCTAAGGAGGAAGCCATCAGATGCTTACGTCTCGTGTACTGCCAGCTGAATTCAAGATGCTATATATCTATATTTTAAAACTTTAGTGTATATCCTAGACTTTGAGTGGATTCAAACATCTTGTCAAACTGCATAAAAATGCAGAATTCTTCAAGAAACAGAAGAAATCCTGTAAAAGAGCCACAACTGTAGTGGCTACTGTAATGTACATTGTAGCTTTTTGCCAAACACTGTGAAATAGTTCCAGTTCAAGGTGTGGAAGTTGAGGACTAAAGGCTAAGGCTTTGCTATTGACTGTCACAGTTCTGTTTGTTAGGCCACCTTACATCAACCTTCACTTAAATAACTTTCAGGAAAGTAGATATTCAACAAGTAGATGGTAACAGTAGTTTGATTCAGATACTAGTTTCTTACCTGCCTATCAGTTGTTCAAATGTTCTTTCCATAACTTTCTGAATTCCAAGGCGATCAATATCCCTCATGGAAAAATACTGGATGTCATAGTTCTTCAAAATATAGCTGTTAAAATAGAGTTTTTCAAAATCATTACTGGCCTAAGCTTAAACCTAGCAACCCTTGTGAACAGCCAGACACGGAAAGAAGCTCACGACTTAAGCCTTTACAGAAATCCTTTGATCAACTTACTATTCAGCAGGATCCACATCCCTCAAACCAATGTACACAATATCAGATGCTGAAAGGCAGGGCTTTAGCCAGGAAAAGCCAGGAAGTTGTGGTACCTGCAAGCAAAGGTTTAGTATTAAGTTAAATGACATCTATAACAAAACGCTATTAAATGCTTCCCTCAGAACTTTATTTATAGCATCATTTCTCTGTCTAAACAGAGAAACTCCATCACCTGAGAGTTTGGCTTCCCAATTTCATCAGTCCCACCTTTGTTGTACCATTTTACCAGAACTGAACTTTAAACACTTTCCAGTTTGAGAACAAAAAATAAGAAGCCCAAATCCACAAGCAATAGGTAATTGGCATCAGTGAATGTACAGGGGAATGATAAGAAACCAGATACCCGGGTGCAGATCACTTACACAGTACATTTAATGGCAATGCTCTGTAACTTACCCAGTACATGATACTCGAGTGGAAGAATAAAAACCAAGGCACCTGGATCTTTTTAGGAGAATCACCCAAAAGTCATGCAAACTTCTTGCAAAAACAGTGTTAAAGATGGACAAATTCAAAGTGTTGAAGTTAAAAAAATGAGAACTAAAAAGAACATAACAAGCAGCTGTGCCTATATGTGGGGCTACATCATTCTGGTTTTTACTATAGAACTGAACAGAGCAGGTCTAAGCAAATGAAAGATGATGAATTTTTCAGCTTTGGTGATTAAGTAGTTAGGGCATGCAATTATAAAAACCCTTCAGTTAGCAGTACCTACTAATTTTAGGAGTGCTTTAAATTAACTCAGATTTCTCTTCTTCCTCTCCCAGCTCTGAAAATGGCTACAGCCAACACAGCTGTCAAGCAGCAAGAAGGCTTTGTTTCCCTCTACACTTCTCAATTACTAATTATATTCTAGTTACAACATTGGGACTTGTTTTTAAAAGTCTAACACACCCATAGCTAGGAAGCCCTTAGGATTAAATAAGCGCATACAATAAAAGTATTCATTACTCTGGGGCAGTGAAACTTTTCTGCAGTCATAAATTCAGTAGAGGGATAAATGAATTGGAGACCACTAAGAAAAAACAATTCAGGTCTCAGAAATGAAGCTGTATCTGCAAAACCCATCACCATACCCTCAGCTGAGCACAGTATCGATAATGTCGTCAGATACTCTTCAGTATCAATGATTTAGTACATTTAATACTGCCATTTTTAATTACACCTCTTCAAATAAAGAAAATGGAATGCCTTAACTTCCTTTGGTAGGCTCTGTTTTTACTTTGTTTCAGTAGAAAAGGAGTTGCCGATAGTGAAGGCAAAGAGGTGTCAGAACAAGGTGCTGGCATTTTCGCCCTAAATTATTAATAGCAGTTTACAAGTTCAGTTTGACTGGTTCCAGGAGCCCTGACACTAATGCTTGGTTTGAAGAATGCCAGTCAAAGGATTACATCCAGAAGTATTTTCCTCTTACACCAACAAAATTCATTTTAAAAGATTTTAAAAACCCTCAAGTGCCCCCTTGCAGTGCTCCTGTGGAGCTGAGCAGGCAAACAAGCGCCAGCTGGCAGCCTGTGGGTGGACTGTGCAGGCAACACCAGGGTTTGTTCTACAGTGACCTGGCCAAATGCTTTATTTTATTTCCTAGTCGGATGCATCACTTTTATACTTCATGTTGTCTGCTACATGGGGACACTGAATTCAGGAGAGCATTGACCAAGCTCATCAGCCCTGGCTACAGAAGGGATTCTGAAAACAGGTGAGGCAACGCCTACAGCAGAAGGGCTTGAAACAGCCCTGGGGGAGCTCTTGGCAGTTGTGCTAATTTAGTCAGTTGCTGCCACACACATTCTGCCCTTCTGTTGCGCCAGGAGAGCTGTTTGTAGGGGCACGCGGCTGGGACTTGGTGCGCCTCAAAAACTAACCAAGCAAAGAGACAGTGCCCCAGGCTCAGCTCTCGCGCAGTCCCAGCGAGGGGCAGAGCAGCTCGGCGGAGCTGCTGCCAGGGGGCCAACAACAGCCCGAGCAGATCGTGTCACCCAGGGACGGATGTGGCACTACTACATCTGGCTCTCATCCTCTTGGTAGGGAATGAAGAACAAGAAGCCTAGAGATGCTGAAGAGCAGTACCAGTTAGTAGAGGTGGGCAAGGAATGGGGAAGATCAAGTGTAGTCATGCAAACTATTTTGCTCCTTTTATACCCTCAAAGGAGCTGTTGTTTCTCTGTGGTTCTAGGGAGCCAAGTGCTAACTAGCCTTCCTGAGACTACTAGGTTGATGACCAACTGTCATCAAAATTCCAGTTTGGTGGAATTATGGGAGTCCACACTGAGCAGCACACGCTGGGCTGTGTCACGGCAGGGAAGGGTTGCTCCAAAACCCCTTCACAGCATGAGTGCAAGCAAGGAAGGAGATACAGGGCTCACCAGAAAATCTCCGCGGTCCTCTCAACCCGCCACGCTGTGTACCCTCTGAAAAGGTAGAAACCTCCCTGAGAAGCAAAGTGCAGCTGGTTGGTTTCTCTGTCGCTTGGAGAAAGAAGTTACGCTTAGCTGAGTGTAGGACAAGCATAGCCTTTTGCTGGTGGCAGGCAGTTTTAGGATTCAAGAAGGAATCCGTGCAGAGCGGTTGGGAAAGGACAGGAAATTTTTTGGTCCTGTTACCACCACAACTGCTCTACTCAGTGAGAGCGAGCCACATGCACTTGTTCACACATAAAGGTTCCCGCCGGTGAGGCAGATTGCGTAGCCAGACAAGCCAAAGGCACCTTCTGCTACCGCCAAACAGCCATCTAAAAGTTCATACTGTTCTAGAAGCTGCCTTGTACCAGCAGGACAAATGTTGGGTTCCCTCCCCCTGAACAGGAATACAGTATGGTAGGAAAAGCCCTTAAATGAGCAGCCGCCTGTTTGAGTAGCTGCAGATGCAGGCTGAGGGGCTTGGGTCAGCTGTTTCTGCAGCGGCTTCCTGACCGCTGGAACTCGCGTGGGCTTGTGAGGAGATCTCCCCACCAGCAGCGTTACCCGACTAGCTCGCCCCTAAGTGTAGCCTAATCTTACTCTTTCTCCATTACTGCTGCTGGCAAGCAGCCTGCTCCCCCACTGGCCCCAGAAAGCTCACGCAGTTCTTTTAAGTAGCTCTGAAAAAAAACCAAAACAACAAAAAAAAAACCCTGTTTTTCTGTGCTGCTCAAGAACCTGAGTCTGGCAGACCAGAAGACAACAATGTATACACGGGAAGCTGATAAAATACTTCTGTCAATACTTTCGTCCACTGCCTCTTTTAAGCAGCCCCACTAATTTTGCATTACTTTGGGAATTCTAACATGTTTGTAGAGACCATACAAGAATTGTGAGGAGAATATGTAATGACTCTCTAGGCTTGGGGATGAAATTAATTCAAAAGAATTTGCAGGAGAAAAGCAGAAGAGCTTTACCAGATGATAGCAATCTTGAGATGCCAAACAGGTACTAATGCAATGGTATCTGCAGTAGCCATAAAGACATTAAACATACTTGAGCTTACTTTGAAGAGGCATACATCCATCAACACAGCACCCCCAAAATTTATCAGAGAGAAAAATAAAATCTAAGAGAAATGACCAGCAATGCAAAGTGACAGAATAAAATGAAGAGTCAGGTTTTCTGCAGCTCCAGCATCCATTTTGAACGTGCAGTTGCTGATCCTGCTCCCACTCCCCAGCCTAAGCTTCAGCAGCAGCAGTTGATCGTACCTAAGTTCCTACTACAAAGGCTCCAGCTTTTAACAGTGCACAGGCTGCTGCTGAAGTGCCTCCAGGAGATGCTACAGGTGCCTGTCTGGGGAGATACAGTCTGCAGCCAAGACAAAAAGGACGCACAGGGCTTCGGGCAACCTACTGTTTAGCATCTTGACAGTAGCAAAAACTGGCCATGCACATTCCCTGTGCCCCAGTAAACAGCGCTCTGGCAATTTGACCTCTTTCCAAGACAAAGACTCTCTCTTTAAAAGCACCCTGTCAGGGTACGGCTGTTCTGATCTGTAATATTTGCCAGTGGAGCCAACAGCAGAGCAGCCAGTTAGGAGAGAGCATGCAGGAACAGCCCCTGTCAGGCCCCAAGGTTGTCAAAACACGGAAGAGCCAAACCAGGCAGAAGCAGGGTGCGAGGTATGCGGGAACCAGCCGTGGGCGGGGAGCTCAGCAGGGCTCCGGGGCTGGGCTGGGGACGCTCCCTCTTTGCAGAGCGGCTGCCATCGCGCAGCCTCAGCCCCAGCTCCACGCACCACGCGGGGATGGCACCACAGGAGCTGCTACACCGAGCTTGGGTGAGCTCTGGCTTTCTGCACAACCCACGAGGGTGCTAACACAGAGCTTTTTCTCATTCTTGTTTCTAAGTGTGTATGTATGTATAACTGTATTTGCACGTGTGTGTGCATGTGTACACACAGAAGCTATACACATTTTTGCTTGTACTCGGAAAAAAAGGTCTGTATTTGCAACAGATGAGAAAGCACCTCACACCAGAAAAAGTAAAATGCTCTGAGGATCTCTGCGTAGGCTAATTATATGAGCAATATGCTTACCTTATCTTGAAGCTCTCTCAAGAGAAATGAGAGAGGCTGTCCATGGAGGTTTCCAGACTGAGTTGTGAGCGGGGTGTTGATATCAGCATGCGCATCCACCCAGATCACACCAAGGTGTGGGCACTGCCGCGCGTGGCCACTGACAGAACCAAGTGCCAAGCTGGAAGTAACAGTAGCAAAGTCTTTAGTCACCATTTCTGCTTCAGAACAACTACAAGGACAACGGGGGGGCGTCTCTGCAGCTTCAGTCAGCAACACTGCCACATTTGAACACATTGGCCATCTGTGATAACAAAGGGTGCATCCCACGCGAGCTGCATGGCACACCACTAGTGTGATTCCAGGAGACTCCAATTAACTCTACAGGACTGTATTAGTAGTGACAGATGAGAAGAGCTCTCTCCTCTCTCCACTGTCACGCTCCCCACACTCTAATCTTTATCTGCTCTAGCTCCAAATGATCTCATAGAAAAATCTAGTGTGCTCACTCATCAATTCTGCTATTCACTCATTTTTGATTCTAGTCATGACACCTTCCCCCACAATTTATTCTTACATGCCTTACCATCAATTCTCAGACCAAAGCTTAGTGAAAAAGAAGAGAGAGAGATTCACATGTTATAAGATCTATTACAAAACGGCCTGAGTGTAGGCATTGCAAACCCATGCTAAGCGCTGATATCCTGAGAGATGAGGGGTACGAGAGACACATCACTAAACATTCAGCAATAAAGCAAACTCAACAGTTCCCAAAGGGACCTGTTCACCCAAACTTTCCCAAACAGAAAAACCTCATTTGATTGTCTGCAGATCACAAAACAGTTTGGAAAAAGCCAAAGTCTTAGAAGGCCAGACTTTTGTAGCTGTCTATGTTCCACCCTAAAATCCCCAACAATAAAATCAAAATGCTGCTACCCTATGGTATGGCCAGGAAACAACGCCAAGACCCTTCCACCCTCCCCTTAGTTCTTAATTAAATTCTCACACTCCAGGTGTCAACCTGCAGCGTGCACCACTGCTCACTCCTAGTTCACTCACCTGTGGTCACCTCCTATGGTCACACAGCTGTGTCCAGCAGCTACTGCTCTGCTCACCGCATCAGCCAGCACCTGGCTGGCCGAGCCCACCGACCGCGGATATAAAATCAGGTTGTTGTACAGTTCATCATTGGGAACTTGAGTGAAATTCAAATCTCCAAAGTCGTACACTTGGCATCCTGGAAACACAGCAACAAAAGGAGAAAGTGAATTAAATAAGTGCCCAGAGAAATGCTCAAATTACTGTGCCCTCAGAAAAATCAGTTGGCCAAGTGCGAAAGGAATAACGGGAAGGGAACAGATTCCTTTGACTATTTGCATGCCCTTGCAAACAACCGTGTCACAACTTTACAGATTAAAAAACTTATGATAGCATTGTTGCTTTAATTTAGCAATCAGGCACATCAATCATAGAAATTGACCTAGAAAGAGTTTGGGTTTGGGTTTGTTTTTTATTATTTCTTGGCAATTTTAACATGAAAAAGTACAGTTTGTATTGCCATCTTCCTTCCCAAATAGATTGTATACAGCCTTAAATGAGCTCAGTTGGTCAAAAATGCATAGGGCTACATGTTTCAGTAACTGAGTCCTAACTTATTTTTCATTTCCAAACCCCACAAAGAATCCACATTTCATGATATGGAATATTTCATTGGCCAGTTTGGGTCCGGTGCTCTGGCCGTGCTCCCTCCCAGCTTCTTGTGCACCTGTGCCCAGGCAGGACATGGGGAGTTGGAGAGTCCTTGATCTCTCAGCAACAACTGAAAACATCAGTGTATTATCAGCATTTTCCTGGTACCAAATCCCACACTGAATCAAAAACACAGCACTATTCTAGCTACTCAGAAGAAAAATTAACTCTATCCCAGGCAAAACCAGGACATCAATAATGGAAATTTTCTTACAGTACTTCCAGGCAACTCCATGGAGGATGCACTGGCGCTTTGTAAAAGAACCTGTCTATTTTCTCAACACAAGATGTTCTAGAAGGCATTTTAATTCTAGATCCCAGCCCTCTTTGAGATCCTATCCTTCCCTGTTACAACTTAATCAGGTGTTGAAGCCTGACAACATTCTGGGTCTAAGAGTCAGCCTTTCCTAAAATGTATTTTTGTCTACTTAGCCTGAAAAGGAGTGACTTGACAGATTAGGAAACAAGGGAGCATTTTTGAGTTTTGTTTCCCCTCCTCCACCCACCTGGGAACATATTTATTAATTGGCTGCATTTGGAGTTTAATTTCCATACATATTATAGATCTTATCCTTTGAAGCTCTGCTGTCTGATACCATATGTTTTCTTAGCAGTCATTTAGATACCAAAGTTTCCAGCAGTATCTCACAGGCCTGAGACTCTCAGTTTCAGACAGGCCTGTCACTACAGGCACTGATGAGGACTGTAAAGGCCCCAAGGTATTTACAACTACACCAACAGTGGCTTAAGTCGAGACCACCCTGAATACCAGTCAGGCCTGTCCCATTTGTTCCTCAGAATCACTAGTCTGCAGTTCAAAGCACCCAGGCTACAGCTTGACATTTTGCCTTTAGCCAGAGTATACCTAACGGCAATTTGAAACATTAAAGCAAGCAAATCAACGTGAAGAAACAGCCCACTTGGGGCTCTGGGTTTCAGGCTTAATTTCCATTAAGCTGTTAGTCTAATGTCAGGGAAACAGGCTCTATGAATTTGCTTGGTGGAAAGAAAGATGTAAAAGTAGCATTGAGAACATGACTCATAATTTCAAAAGGAGTTTTGACTGGTGAAAAGAGTAATGGAAAATGGTTGAGTCACTTGTGGGAATTAGGTGACTGGGAAGTAGGCAAGTACACTCATAGCAGGGACATAGGCAGACGTAATCAGGGTATTTGTTAGGAGAGGACATGCCAGCTGAGCACAGCTACTTGCAAAGGATTAAATAAATGTAGTCTCAGCAACTCTGAGAAAACACATTACCTGCAGAGACTTAAAACAGTAAACACGACCATGACATACCACTCCCTGGTTTTCAAAAGGCAACACAGGCACACAGCAGCATTTTTCTTCCTCCTTTAGGCAATACCTAGCTAGCCAGCAGGATGACGGCTCTGGAATTTTGAGCCTGTTTTGTTCAGATTTGAATGTGCTATCTGATCTCCATACGACCACTACATTTTATTACCCTCTTTCATTCTGCTGCTGTACAGAATCGGGAAAGAGCTGCAAGCTCTGACAGATGTTCAATGAATGTAAAAAAAAATTTTTTATTTTTTTTTTTAAATCTGTGTCTTCCTGCAAGGCTACTTCTCAATGCATATGCACACTGCTACACATTTCAGTATTTCAAAGTTTGATGAAAGTACATGAGTGTGCCTGAAACAAATTTTGGAAGAAAAACTTCAAGACACTGCATCATTCCATAGGTATCAAGAGCTTTCAGAGACACTGTACAAGTTAATAATGCCTTTGATCAAATACTCTGACAACTGTGGGAAGTAAATCTGCAGTTAGGATCTGTGTTCAGTGACTTGTACTTTGCAGGACAGCATATTACACAATGTAATGGAAGAAAGGACTGCCACTTACATTTTGTTCTCTCTTACAGGACATACAAGTGCATCACAGTATTTTCACCCATTAAAGGATGAAAAAAGAATGAGAGGAAATTATATCAAGAAGTTCCATCTTTAGATCAGTGTAAAACAAAGCATCAACCATGCCATCTTTCATAGCACTTTAAGGAATCGGTTAAGATTCTTCAGGTCATGCTCAAGGCAGTCCAAACATGGCAGATGCCAGCAAGTGTGTTTAGAGAAGTATCACCTGTGTTCAAGAATATCTTTCTTCTTTACCATGCTCTTCTCCTAGTCCCCCTTCGTAAGGCCAAAAGACTTGGTTCAGCTTCTGAACAAAAAAGCTATTCATTTCTTACCATCACATCAGGTTCATACAGCTTACCATGTGGGTATGGATGGACAGACACACACTTTAGGGGTCCAGATTTCTGCAATCTTGTCCTTCTTTTGGACACACAGTACTCATATCTCCTGCATTAAGATGCCTCTCTAGTTACTTTTATAAAAAACCCTAATGTCTGTTTAAAGCCAATAGATGCCTTCAATTTCTGCTACCATCTTCAAAAGTTCGTTGCTTTTTCAAATAGTTCACAAACCTTGTAGCAGCTTCTTTTCTCAGCTTTGGGCTTCCCCCTTATTTAAGCCTACTGTTTTCATGTGCTTGCAGAGGATAGCTCAAGTTTCCTTTCAGCCAACTATCCAGTGGCTGTCTGTTTAAGATATAGTTGATCTCAGAAGTACGCACTAATCTAATCCTTGAACACCAATAGTATCTTTTCTTCCTACTAATTTTTTTTAATTGTGCCTATGTGTTTTGAAAGCTATGATTAAGTGACTTTAGGACAAAAGGAAAGCTTAGGGAATAGATGGTACACAAAATAATTCACAGTACGTAGATAAACCATGTATCCTGAAGTGATCAGAAGTCTGTGTATGTGCAAGTATGCACATATATTTATTAGGATTGACCAGACACTAAAGATATGAAATCAACCCATACATTTGTCTTAATGCTTACTGAAGAGCCAAGAAAACCAATTTGTGTCAAATTAAGTAATTACTGATTTATTTTCTTGGCTTCCATTTAGCGTCTCAGATATTAGCCTAATACTTAAAGACCTGAATTTCTTTCCATTTCATCTGCCTGCTTGTACACAGTTTTGATTTAAAGAAATAAAAAAACCCTAAATCTCTCAGCTATGTTATTTTGTCCAACAGACAGACATGCTGTAGTGCAGTGCAATCTGGTAGATCTTGCCGTTATTTGGCTGTTAGCAAAAGATTTCTATAACCCACCACACCAAACAATATGCACTTGCTTTCTTTGGTAGTTGGGGTACTCTTTATTTTAAGGTACTAATTACTATAAACAGATATCTTTTTAAATCAGCACAGATATTTACCATGATGAATATATATGGGCCTTTTAAAAGAGATTAGATCCAAATTCTGAAAACTAGAAAAAGATGTGGGTAGATAGGAAAGCCAGCTTCCTTACAGTCATTAGAAAGCAGAGCATCCACACCATCTGTCAGTGCAACAGAGCAGGTCTAGCCAGGATTGAAGTTCTTTTTAAAAGAAACAGTACCATACAGTACTTACAGACTAACCACCACAGACATTTTGCTAGTAACTAAATAATATGAAATTAAATATGATCAAAAGAAGTCTTTTGTTCCACTTTCGAGCTCTAACAGAAATGACATTCAAATGAAAAATACATTGCATGTGATTCATTAGTCAATTATCAACAGCATAGAAATTTTATAACATGTCCATACATGTCAGCTCCAGCAGCACCCTAGCTCAAAAGGGGATCACTTTCTGAAGCGAGGCGGGGAAAAAAACACCAAACAAACAGGCTTGATTCATCTATTTCTGTTACAGGAGCTTGAAAGAGATACGGGGGAGATACAAGGGTCAATCTGAATATGAACACGCAGTATAGTTACATAAATAAGATGCATATATGCACAACAGTCGTCCTGTTAGTATGAATGATAAGTGTGTAAAGGCAGCACACACCGCTCTTCTACAGTTTAGGAGTATAATCCTCAGTGGTTCAATGCCTCCTCAGAGTCTATCAACAGCTCTTTGGGGGCACATTTCAGCCAGAAATTAATAAATTAGCTTGAAATCATTTGTAAGGTAGATCTTTCCTAGGCCAATTTCTTTTTACCGGAATGGGTTAGGGAAAGGTCACATAGACATGAAACCAGCAGACCAGGTATGGAGGACAGTCGTTTCTTCAGCCTGCACAGCCAGAACAAGAACTTACCTGTACCTGGTAAAAGAAATAAACATTTTTCATCATTAGGAGCCTAACTTATACAGAGGTAAAAAAAAGGTGGAAATGCAAATTAAGAACATATTTAAGAAAAAGTTTCCTGCGTGCCTTTTCAAATAAGCTATTAATGTAGCAGTCAGGCTCAACCCAATGATGCTTATAACTGGGACATAAAATGCCCTTTAGCAAGCTACATGACAATGGTAATGTTCACTTCTTATTATCTATAAGCAAAATACAGTCCATTTATTCAGCAGCCACAGTAAGCAGCAGTTACTATACCAAGTCATTTCCCTGCATAGGTTTAGAGAAAATTTTCTTCTGTAAAAGCAGGTGGCTCAT